TGATAATTTTAACTCTGTGAAAAGTTGCTGATTTAACAAAAAGAATTAATTCAGATCTGCCAAAATAAAGGCCATTATTTGATAATATATATTTTTTTCAATGAACATTCACTGTAAAGGCTGACTTTTCACTAAGAAACCCAAGTGCTAGTTCACATTCATATTAGTGTTTAACCCATATAGTAGATTTAGCATTTCATTAGAAACAATCTTGGCCTGGTATAATTTAAAGAGCCTTAAGAAATGTTGTGTAAGGCTGATTTGGAACAAAAACAAAAAGGATGCTCCTGAAATATAATTCAAAATAGGGAGTTTTACTGTAAGTATTGTTGCTAAAGATTAATTCCACAGAAGAAACTGCTTATGGAGGAGTATTAAACATTTGACCACATACTGGCAAAAAAAATGGAAAAGATCATCCCTTGAATTTTTTACTATGTGTACGAGTACACATGATCATCAAACTCAGCGCGAGTTTTGTTTTTTTCTTTCTTAAGAGGCAGAGTTGGTCGTAGCTGCTTCAGTCTCTGTCTGAAGGTTTTACCGAAACTGTGGTGCAGTCTTAAAAGGAAAGTTCACAGAAATGTCAGATTGTAGATTTGGAGAAAGAAACTCTGAGGTGATGGTTTTCTCCAAGGTCGTGATTATGAAGCTCAATGAGAGCCTGAATTGCTTCTTCCACAGAGCCCAATTGGATGAGAGCCATTTTACGATCTTTCCTGAAATTCAGTAAAATGATGCAATTAATTTTTACAAATATGTATTACCATTACCCAAAATCTCTGCCAGAATTTTTCAGTTAGTCTCATCTGCTGAATATTATGTATAAGAGTTAGAACTTAAGCTGCACCTGCAAGAACAGGAACAGAAGCAAACAGAACGATATGCCTTTTGAAGGCCAATGGTTTGCAACCATCCCACCTTGTTCCATGACCCTGTCACACCTCAAAAGCTAAACAGGACCAGTACATAGCTGCAAGACCTTCATGGAGCATTTAGGTGTTAGCCATGAATAAAAAGTCATTCTTACCATTGCCCCGGTACTCAAACTGCCCCATAATAGCACCACAGGATATTATATTGTTAAGAGAGACCATTTTTCCAATGAGACCTTATACATCCCATAGTTTGTTTGCTTTTTCCTCTTTAAAGAACGTGGGTATTATTCCAACTAACCCAAGCAAATTCCAGTTTAAGCAATTATTTCCCCACTTTTAAAACTCCCATGCAATGCTAATTGGATACTACGTTTTTCTTTTCTGGTCCTAAATATTATATACTGTTAGCCTGCACTGTTTAACAACTTGCCAGAACTCACCTGAAGGGTGACGAGATATGTAAGCCATGTGCCTGTAATTTCCTCACCTATTAGCTTCTATTCCTAAAACAATCTATTATCCTTCAGGATAAATGATCCTATGAAATTTTATATTTAAATAATTTAATACACTGAGAATGAGAGGACTTACTGGAAGAATTTGAAGGCTTTCACAGTACATCCAGTACCTGCAAAGAGGTTCTTCAGATCATCAACAGTAACTGAAGGTCTAATTTAAAAAAATATCAAAAAAGTAATTATAATTCTGTTATGGACTTTATGCATACTGTGCTCTTCTCAACTTCTATTTCAGCCTTCCCAAATAAAGTTTAAAGGCTAAATTTTACTTTGACCAAATTAAATCTGCTCAAAATCTGGCTTCAACTGTTTAGTAGTCTTATATAAAGCTTAGAAATTCTATATTCTATAGGTTTCCATTATACAATTTAGGTACTCCCACCTTAGCTGCTCTCTTATTCAGAATTAAGAAAGTTTATTCAAGACCCTAGCATCTGATTCAAGTAACTCCTTTTGCTTTGGGGCTACAGTTAACTCAATTTGTATATTTTTAAATAAACACATTCAAAAGAAAAAAAAAGTTCTTCAAATTTTCTTGCTTTGTTAAAGTTCTTATTTTAAAATAATATTCTTTTATGGCTTTCTCCCCTTTAAGATATTACAGCATATAAGCATAGAAGCAAAGTTAAAGAAGCTTGTCTGTGACCAACTTGGGTTTTTTTGTCATACCAATTAATATTGCTGCTTAGTATATGTCCTTATCTTTCTTCTGCACAGTTTCTGGTTGTGATACTCTAGCACAGTTTTTCTCAATTCATGGGTTGCAACTCAAAAAGGGTCTTGAACAAACTTTAAAAATGGATCAACACATTTTTAAAAATGGATTCTCCTTTAAATGAGAAAAACATGGGAAACTATGGCTTTTCCCTTGCAGGCTGGCAAAGTTCCAGCCAGCAAGGGGCTGTTTGGGAGCCCCCACCCCACCCCCTGCCTCACACACTGGGGGGCTGGGGCATGGGGGCAGGGGACAGCAGGTCAGGAAAGGGGCATTGAGTCAGGACTGTCCATCAATGTTTACAAATGGCTCCCAGTACAAAAGAGGTTGAGAACTACGGCCATGTTAAATATTTTGGTTGTATCAAAAGGGCATGTCTACATGTGCAATCAGTGTGCCTGAATTTTCTTCGCAAAAAATTCAAGGGCATTAAACTGCCCCTGCATGCCCATGAACATGTGCCCATCAGGAGCAAATTTGCTCCCAAAGGGCACATACAGATGAGGGCACACATGCAGTTTGTGGTGCTGCAGACCATTGCCCAAAATCGAAACTGGAGCCTGGCTAACGAGCCACACTCCAACTGCCAGCCAGGCTCCCTGATGCCAGATCATTGCCACTGGAGCCCCAGGAGGCCCCCAGGCACTGGCGTCCTAGCCTCCCCTACCTCACCTGGGGCAACTTGCTGCACACCAGAGCACATACACATGGGCATTCCCTGGGGACAAATAGCAGTCACACAACTATGCGCCACTGCTATTTGTCCCAGGGGAAATGCAAGTGTGCACTAAACTGGACACGCCAAAATAGAGCAGTTCACTCCAGGGCTGCTCTTGTCCTCCTCTACTCCCCTGCTGCAGCCAGAAGGAGCTCCAGGCTCCTATGGGTGCCAGCCCAGGGCTTACAGGGGGTACAGGGACTGGTCTCCACAGGGCAGAGGAGAGCTGTCCCAACAGCCGATCTCCACATTGCTGGGACACAACAGTCCCAGATGCTAGGACATCTCTCCTGCTCAGCCATGTGGCAATAGATCTCTGCAAGGCTGCGACGCAAGTGCTGGCTACCAGGACAGCTTTCCTGGACACATGGGGATGAGACCAGGTCCTGATCCCCATGTGGCAGGGAGATAGCTGCCCCTGCATCTGTCACAGCTTTCACCCCTGCTGCCCCCATGTCTCACATTGGGGCTTAGCCAGGCAGCAGCAGGTTCCCTGCTGCCTGGGACAAAAATCGCTCTTGGTTGGCATCTACATGTGCACTACTGCACAGTAGCTAATGCACCATTAATCTAGCACCTGTATTTCCTGGTACTAGCAAATGGTGCATTAGTCTAATTTACTGCGCAGCAAGTCCCAGGCACATGTAGAAGGTGACACTTTACTGTGCAGTAAAGCATCTCAGGTAGATGTGCCCAAGGTAGGCATAATAACTTTGTAGCCTGCTCTCACTGCACCTTAAGTTGGCATTCTCACCTCAACTGACTGGCACTCCCAGCCTAAGCAGCGTGTCAGAGCCCTTCAAGGCTCCAGGGTGTTTTCAAGGTTGAGAGTGTGCCTCAGCTGACCAGCACTTCCAGCCTTGGGAACACCCTGAAGCCTTGTAGGGCTCCAGTGCACTCCTGAGGCTGAGTACCAAGCAGCTGAGCGGTGCTCCAAGCCACAGACTCACTGGGTGCTCAGTTTGCTAACTGCTGGATCAGATCCTGGGCTCTGCCAGAACTGACAACAGGGCCCTATATGGTTCTGATTTCTGATCCCACAACAGTGCCTCCTGCCATGCACATAGCCCATGGTTTGTGGATCAGATTTTACTGTACCTTTAACCAGACTGCACCTAGCCCTGTACTAAACAATATCCAAAACAATATATGGTAAGCTAATCAGGTTATCACTGGGCTTATCAGTCAGTTAACCTGTCAGCAGCCTTAGTTACAGTTGGTTAGAAAGAACTGATGTCCATCTTCCTTGTTATACCATGGCCTTAGTATTGAAAATAAATTCTTTCAAGAACATGCACAGTTATGTGGAAGTGATAATGTACATAATGTAACAACTAATGTGTATATATGGAAAAGTCTAATAATTGAGCTTAGCCTGCCACACAGACTGTCACGTGTAATTTGACATGTGAAAAAAATGATTAGATATGAAGGAGACTTAGAAAAAGAAACAGTCATTACTTAGCACACTGAGACTGTAGTCACCTTAAAACTGAATTTGTCCTCTTTACCAGCAAAGAGATATCATTGGTCACAGGAGTTGGACAATATAAATTCTATAATTAGAACAGCAACAAAAAGACACTGCAGCCCATTCTTACTGTTTTCGGAAACCTGGCAAAAAATCCCTCCTTATTTTTAGCAAATAAGGAGGCAAGCAAAAAATACTCAGATCTTGTGCTAATCTACAAATCTGAAAGACCTAACTTTTTAATTAAAATCCAGTAGTCCTGTCCCAGCTGAGCTGTACTTACGGAATGTTGGAAAGATGCAGAGTGGCAGACGGAGGAAAGATGTTTTGGAAGTTCTTCGAGCCAGGCTTCTTGAAACGATGCAAAGGACTACTGCTGTAGTCTTTCGTCAGGCCTTGGTCCTCTTGTCCCTCACGAGGAAGCTGAACTGTCTGATGCTTTGAAAGAGTTGCACGGAGCACTTTTCCATACAGTCTCTGCCCATTCAAGTGACTCATGGCTAGATACAAGCAGCACCAATAAAAGTTTGAACAGGAGAAAAGACCAAGAAAAAGAAAACATCAGAAGGTGCTATGACTAGTTTCAAATTTGTCCAAAGGATAACAGTGGAAATGCCATTAATAACTTACTATTTAAGTTGAGGCTCTAAATGCAAGTACCAATATTGTTATGTAAGCTTCGGTCTGACTTCACAATGTTGTTCACAATTGTTATAACTTGCATTTAGACGCTCATCACAAGATAAATGGATGAACTATCAACTATAAAAATTAATAAAAGTATGAAGTAATTTTTCTAAAAAGTACCACCCTACAAAGATTCTAATGACTAGAATATTAGTCTATATTTAAATAGGAAAAAAACACTTAAAAAAATTCTAGCACAATACTCCTAGTTTCAAACAAAACAAACTTTCCCTCTGAATATCACCAAAAACATGCATTTCTTCTCACATTAGCGCAAGCAGCACACTGTTTACATGTAAAATAACTTTACGCTCAGGCTACTGCATAACATATTAAATATACTGAATATAATAAATTACACATAACAGTACATAAAACAAATAAAAATCTTAATAAAGAAAATGTATTATTACAAACAAACTCAACTTTGCCGACACAATTCGGAATTCC